CCTTATTTTTTGCAAGGGATTATTGAAATTTGATTATGTTAGAACAAGAAAAAGTAGCTCGCTCGAGCTCATGTAACATAAATGTTGAAAAACCATTGGTTTTGTGGGATTCGGACAGCGCGCGCGGAAGGACATTTTGACAATTTTTTCTTAAAAAACCATTGGGTTTTTGATGTTTTTATGTTAAAATCGCTACGAAACCTAAGGTTTTGGAAGGATTTCGTCTTGCGCGCACGAATGTCCACTTTACCTTATTTTTTGCAAGGGATTCTTGCAATTTGATCAACTAAGAACAAGAATTTTCATTTTCTATTGTTTTTTGCAAGGGAAAACGAGCGTCAACAAAAAACCGGATCCGGTACCAATCGTTTTGCCTGAGACTTCCTCACGAAAATGATGAAAATGTGGCTGCGGCCTAGGCGCGGCGGGGGGGTCGCGCACCAGGGGTCCCAACAATAATTATTCTTAAGAAGAAATAATGTTCAACAACAACAGCAACAGCAGCAACAACAGCAGCAACAACAACAACAACAACAGCGACAGCAACAGCAACAGCAACAGCAACAGCAACAGCAACAGCAACAACAACAACAACCATTTAAGACTGTTCGCCCTTATCTGATCGAGTGTCCAATAACGCGTGTTTCCCAAACCCTCGATACCCGCCCTCTTCGTCTTCGATCAAACCCGTTTTGGGGGGTATACCCTTCTTCCCTGCAGGCCGGGCCCCGGCAAGCGGCGGGGCGACCGCGGACCGTCAGCCTGGCCAGCGGCAGCGCTGATCGGCGGGGCGGCCGCGGACCGTCGACCCGACCCCAAGAGGAACGGACAGGGGACCGACCACGACGACGACACCGACGATGACGACGACGACGACGACAATGACGACGACGTCGACGACGTCGAAGACGACGGCGACGGCGACGACGAGCGAAAGCGAGAGCGAGAGAGAACGACAGCGGGGCCACGAAGGACACGAAGTAGGCCACGAAGGGCGACAGCAGGGACACGAAGGGAATGCGTATGGGGCCACGAAGAGCGCGAACGAGCGGGGGCCACGAAGGGCAGATAATGCGGGGCCACAGAAGGCAACGATGGGGCCATTGAGGGTAGCAACTGGGCCACGTAGGACAGTGAGGGGGCCACAAACGGGGACAGCGGGGCCACGAAGGGCATGCACATGGGGCCACAACGGGCGCGAATCCTGGGTGCCTGGGTGTCGGGAGCGCGGCAGCGCTGATCGGCGGGGCGGCCGCGGACCGTCGACCCGACCCAAAGAGGAACGGACAGGGGACCGACCACAACGACGACGACGACGACGACGACGTCGAAGACGACGGCGACGACGACGACGACGGCGACGACGACGACGAGCGAAAGCGAAAGCGAAAGAGAACGACAGCAGGGCCACGAGGACACCAAGTAGGCCACGAAGGGCAACAGCGGGTACACTAAGGGAATGCGTATGGGGCCACGAAGAGCGCGAACGAGCGGGGGCCACGAAGGGCAGATAATGCGGGGCCACAGAAGGCAACGATGGGGCCACTGAGGGTAGCAACTGGGCCACGTAGGACAGATGCATATGGGGCCACCACGGGCGCGAACGAGCGGGGCCACGAAGGGCATACATATATGGGGCGGGCCACGAAGGGCTGCAACGGGGCCACGAAACAAAGCGAGGGGGCCACGAAGGGCTGCAACGGGGCCACGAAGGGCTGCGACGGGGCCACGAAGGGCAGCGAGTGTGCCACGAAGGGCTGCAACGGGGCCACGAAACAAAGCGAGGGGGCCACGAAGGACTGCAACGGGGCCACGAAGGGCAGCGAGGAGGCCACGAGGGGCTGCAACGGGGCCACGAAGGGCAGCGAGTGGGCCACGAAGGGCTGCAACGGGGCCACGAAACAAAGCGAGGGGGCCACGAAGGGCTGCAACGGGGCCACGAAGGGCAGCGAGATCCCGATTCTTATGTTACCTGTGAGGGAGTCCTAAGCGTGAGCGCGACTCCTGGGTGCCTGGGTGTCGGCAGCGCGGCGCTCGAGTAAATTACAGGAAATTCCAACGCAAGGGCGCTATTCTTCAGCAAATTGTAAGCAAGTCTCCAGCGAGAGCGCGACTCCAGAGCGCCGGGAGAATAAATTCTAAGGAAGTCCCAAGCGAGAGCGCGATTCCTGAATAAAACGCGAGGAAGTCTCGGGCGGGAGCGGGGGTCCTGGCTAAATTGTGAGGAAGTCTCAGGCGGGAGCCGTTGTTGTTTTAAACCGGGGGCCAACGACACAGTTTGACCCTCAAGACTTTCCCTGATACAAAACAGGGTGCGAGCCCCAGGAAGGGCACTTCAATCGAAAAAAACAATGTGCACCGGACGGGGGGGATCAACAATAATTATTCTTCTGAAATGACAATTCAACAAACGAAAACCCAGTTCCCAAGAATCCTCTTTAAAAAACGAAACGCGGAGGGAGGCCAGATATCTTGCAGACGTCATCAGGGGAGAGAGGAGAGTAGTATTCACATTGTGTCATTGTGGAGGGGGGGAGGGAGGGAGGGAGGAAGCTGGGAGGGAGAAGGTGAAGAGGAGGAGGAGGAGGAGGACGACGAGGACGAGGAGGAGGAGGAGGACGAGGAGGAGGAGGAGGAGGAGGAGGAGGAGGAGGAGCGAGGAGGTCGACGACGACGACGACGACGACGACGACGAGAAGGGGTGGGTTGAAAGGCGAGGGGCACAGAAAGTCTGGAAGGTTGTGCGGGTGCTAGAAGATGAGAGGGGGAATGCGATCTGGAAAAGCAAAAAGGGGGGGAAAGAAGCACGGAAGAGGACCAAATAGAGAAAAGAGAGAAGGGGGGAGGGACGGAGAAAGGACGGCAGAAGGAGGAAAGAGGAGGGAAGACCGAAGTAGAGGGAGAGAAAAGAGAGAAAAGGGAGGGAAAAGGAAATAGGAAGAGGGGAAGAGGGAAGAGGGAAGAGGAAGAAGGAAGGAAGGAATAAGAAGGGAGGAGGGAAAAAGGAGTACGAGACGGAAGAGAGGATGAAGATGACGGCGACGATATCGCCGTCTGCGTGGTCATCATTAGCAAAAATGCAGGGCTCCTCTGATCAGTGATCCCTGAGAGGCCCGAGAAGCGGATTCGATGACGTTGCGCAGACCGTTCGATCCACAACGCGACGCCATGCAATAGGAAAAACTTGCAAGAGAGGGAGACGGCTCGGATGGGATGGCGAAGATCCGGCAAAGGAGAGAAAAAGGGGTTCCAGGGAGGGACAGACAAGAGGGCACTGCGAGTAGTTCAACCAGCGCCTCCCTTCATGCCACTCCGTCCGACAACCCGCCCCACCCCTCCGTGCCCCGCGCGCATCGACCTCGCTGGCGAGCGAGATCCAACCCCCCGCTTGCCGCGAAAGGTAACCTATTCTCACCCGCCTACTCCCCCACGCTCATTAAGCAACTCGACGTCCCAGACATCCTCCGATGAGATTGTTCGCATCCACGGCCCAATAAATCTTCCGACCCCTTTCCCCCAAGGGGCAGTTTTCCAACCGGATCCACTTCTGATGGCCTCCGGGTCAGATAGCAGCCAGGATTGGAACAAAAAAAACAGACAAACAACAACAACCAAAAAAAAAACATCGGGACGAGACCCCCGGGCCGGGTAGCAGCTGGCCCCCGGGCCAGATCGCAGCCGGACGTTTGCTGGGGCCGGCCCAGCCAAAAAAAACACACAATAGGGGGGGAGTGGCTCGGGGAGGGGGAACACCGGCCTGGAAGTGGCGAGGCATCACCGATGGTATCGGCGGTAGGCCCCCGAGAGCGAGTCCGCACCTTCCTGGGGATGGGCTCGGGGAGGGGCTTGGCGCAGGGAGGGGGGAACACCGGCCTGGGAGTGGCGAGGCATCGCCGACGGTATCGGCGACGGGCAGCCCGACAGCGGATCCGCACCCTCCCTGGGCGGGGTGGGGCTCGCGGACCCCTATGCCGACGAACAGTGGGCGATCAGGGGTCGATGCATGCCACCCTGAGCCCATCCCCTGGTGGTTTTCGGTCCACATATATATATATATATATACATACATACGTACATACATACATACATACATACATACATACATACATACATACGTACATACATACATACATACATACATACATGCATGCATGCATGCATGCATGCATACATACATACATACATACATACATACATACATACATACATACATACATACATACAGACATACATACATTTATAAATATACATATACATTTATATATATACAATGTTATAGATATATGTGTGTATATATACACATATATATTTATATATACATCGGCTCTCGGGCGGCCGTTCGGGACGATCCAGGCACCCCCAGAGTGCTCTCGGCGAGGCGCAGCCGCTGGAAGGCATCCCGAGGCTGGGACACCGCCGACAACCGACAAAAACGCCCGAAAACCTTGCGCCCCGGAACTTTGACCGCCCTGAGCCTATTCTCGGCGGCGAGACCAGGAGGGGAAGTGAGAAGGACAAGGCCTTCTCAGAAGGCTCGGAAGTCCCCTGGCCTTCGGAGAAGTTTTTCTGAGCCTTCCCCGAAGACACAGAGAGTGCCTCAGGAGGCCCTGGGGCTTCTGAGAAGCCCCGCCGCCTTCTGAGAGGGCCCTCTCCTTCCCGCTTCCCCCCCTCGCCCGTCGCCGTTATTCCCCCCTGAGCCTGTTCTCCCCCGTCGCTGCACCCTCAGAGGCCTCCTGGATGGGGTCGGAGCCAGTGGGGTCGGAGGATCGCGCGCCGCATCGCCGAGGCACCGGCGACACCTCGCCGACGTCAGCGACGCCTCGGCGACGCCGGCGCGGAAAGAAACTCGGGCCGCACATCGAGCCGCACCCTCGCTGCATCGGCGATGCGGCGCGAGACACCGACCCCACCTGCTCCGACCCCCACCGGGGGGCCTAGAACCCTGAGGCCCGCGGTGAGTGCGCGCGCCGCCCGCCGCTCTTTACGCCCGCCTGCCCCGCACGGCTCCAGCAGACGTGGTCCGGCAGCACGGCGCCCGCGGCGCGCCACACCTCCGGGGGAGGGCCGCGCACTCGCCAGAGGACAGAATCCTCACAAGGAGGAGGAGGAGGAGGAGGAGGAGGAGGAGGAGCCACAAGGAGGAGGAGGAGGAGGAGGAGGAGGAGGAAAAGGAGGCGGAGGAGGAGGAGGAGCAGAAGGAGGAGGGAGGAGGAGGAGGAGAAGCAGGAGGGGGGAAAGCGACGAGGAGCAGGACGACGACGAGGAGGGGAAGCGACGAGGGGCAGAAGGAGGAGGAGGAGGAGGAGGAGGACGAGGAGGCGCATTCGAGGAGGACGAGCCACGAGGAGGAGGAGGAGGAGGAGGAGGAGGAGGCGGAGGAGTAGAGGAGGAGGAAGCGGAGAGGAGAAGGAGAAAGGAAAGGGAGAAGGAGGAGGGGCAGCGACGAAGAGGAGGACGACGACGGGAGGGGGAGGCGACGACGGAGGAAGGAGGGAGGAGGAGGAGGAGGAGGAGGAGGAGGAGAAGGGGGGAGGTAGGAGGAGGAGGAGGGAAGGAGGAGAGGGCTCATCGAAGGGAGGAGGAGGAGGAGGAGGAGGAGAGGAGGAGGAGGAGGAGGATGAGAGAGAGGAGGAGGAGGAGGAGGAAGACAAGGAGGGGGAGGAGGAGGAGAAGGAGGAGGAGGAGGAGGGGAAGCGACGAGGGAGAAGGCGACAACGAGGGAGGGGAAGCGGCGAGGGGGAGGAGGAGGAGGAGGGAGGAGGTAGGAGGAGGAGGAGAGGGAGGAGGAGAGGAGGAGGAGGAGGAGGGAGGAGGGGAGGGAGGCGGAGGAGGAGGAGGAGGTGGAGGTAGGAGGAGGAGGAGGAGGAGGAGGAGGTGAGAGGGGCGGAGGAGGAGAGGAGGAGGAGGAGGAGGAGGAGGTAGGAGGAGGAGGAGGGAGGAGGAGGGGAGGAGGGGAGGCGACGAGGAGAAGGACGACAACGAGGAGGGGAAGCGACGAGGGGGGAGGAGGAGGAGGAGGAGGAGGAGGAGGAGGAGAGAGAGGAGGAGGAGGAGGAGGAGGAGGAGGAGGAGGAGGAGGAGGAGGAGGAGGAGGGGAGGAGGAGGAGGAGAAGAAAGAGGAGGAGGAGGAGGAGGAAGAGGAGGAGGAGGAGGAGGAGGAGGAGGAGGAGGAGGAGGAGGAGGAGGAGAGGTCCGCGCGGCAAGACGTCCCCAGACGGCCCCAAATCGCCCCAACACGGCCCGAGGTGGGCCCTGCGGGAGCTCCAGACCCCCCCCCAAAAAAAACGATGGATCCCCCTGACGGCCTCAGCGCGGCTGCAAAGGGCCCCATCGAGCCTGCAGACAGGGGCACGGAGCCTCCGCAAAACGAACCCACGGGCTTTCCTGAAGCGGTTGGCGGTGCGGCGCAAGCCAAAGAATCCACGTCTTGACTACAGCGAAGCGTTTTGGCAGTCCGACAGGGCGTTGTATGGCGAAGTCACGATGCATCCAAGAAGCCCAACTGCGACCACTTCATGATATGACCCTCTGCAAAAAGAGAACCCTTTTTTGGCCCCCTGGACCGCCGCCAGGGTGCCGACCCGTTTCCATGTCTCCTACAAGCTCACCTAGCCACCTACTAGAACCTATGAAGATCACTGATGCTGGCCTTTCGGAGTTCCTCAAGGCCCGGGAAAGCCCCAAGACGGCTCAAGATGGTTTCAAGACAGCACGAGACAACCCACGATGGCCTCAACAGGAACGAAAAGGCCCCCATGATGGCCCCAGAGGGCCCCAAGGGAACCCCCTAGACCGCCTCCAAATGCCAAAAACTGCGTTCCCCCCAAAGCCTTCGAGTTTTTCATGTTCTTCTGAAGAGCTGGGCCTGGTTGGCGGTTTGACGACTCCGAACTCGCAGTCGCCGCCCCGTCGACGCCTCGTGGCCGTCCATCGTCTGGGCCGGCCTGGCTGTCTGGCGGTTCCGTGTTTGCCGTCGCCGCCCCGTCGCCGCTTAGATAATACAACATATATTGCACAACATGGATCATCACTTCTTCGAGGGAACCAGGATCCCCCACCCATCTGGGACGATCACTTCCCAGTGGGGGATACAAGTTACATACGATTACACACTATTGCTCATTTGCCGCACGAGCTCGGACCATCCCAGCCTGACGGGTATCGCCCCACCCCTCATCCTTGTCAGAAACTCCTATGCGCGAACATTCGATCATCATCTATCATCCGCGCTGAAGAACCCCATGCGTATGAAGAGAGCAAAAAAAACGGGAAGAAAGAACAAAGAACAAAAAAAAAAAACAAAAAAAAAACAAAAAAAAAAAAAAAAAAAAACGTGTCGTCGCGCACGAATAATCGGATTCGCCAAGACCCCGAAGTTCCGTAAGGATTCCAAAATCAAATTTCCCGAAAAACGGCTGTGTAAAACAATTGCACACACAAGTACGCGCGCTTCTGCGCAGTGTGACGAAAACCAAGAAGTGTTCAACATGGTCATAAGATGTTCCCGAAAGGGCCCGTCGCGCGAGCATGCCGGGATCATTCGTCAGTATCGGCGCCGTCATTCGCGTTGCCGTCGTCACTGTCGTTGTCGTCATGCGAATCGTTACTATCATCATCGCGCCAGCCATTGTCAGAGCCGCCGTGATACCGCACCCGCCCACGTCACCGACTCGCACTGAATTACCCGCACGTCAGCGCGGCCCGCGACGCACGCTGGCGAGCCCCCAGCGGTCACCGCCAACGCAGCCGCGTCGGTCGCGCCAGACTAGCTGGCCGCTCTACCCGCGAACCTGCGCGCTTGCAAGGCTGGTCAGAGCCAAGAAGCCATCGCTATCGCCCCCGCATGGCTCACGCAAAACAAATTGCGGACGGGGGGGGCGGGGTGATTGCGCGAGCAATGGAGTTCACAATTCACGGCGAACGCAAATTAATTACACTTACAATTATCCCTGCGAAAAGAAATAAGGATCTACAACCACCACGACATACATTCGAACGCGCCCCATCGTTCACTTCAAATCTAAATACCTACCATCCCAGGCAGCGTCGCCATCGCCCCCCCCGCCCCACCTCATCCCACTCATCGACTGCGATGCGAGCACGCTCGTTTATCATAAATCAAGCATGCGCAACCCTCTGCAGAGAAGATCTTCGCGCGCGCACCGTCGCGAGGGCGCATGCTGGGATGTCTCAAACATCCCGGGTTTCGCGAGGGCTTCGGGCTCGAGCTTCCGAGAACACGTGAAAACCATGGCTTTGCAACATGACTCGTAGAAAACATCCGCGCGCACTCCGTCGCGAATTGTTATGATAAACACGCGTTTTAACGCATTCGCCTTGCCGTCGTCACTGTCGTTGCCGTCATCGCCATCATCTCGACAAGCAGCATCGCGTCTGCCGTTGTCGACGTCGCCATAACACCGCACCCGCCCGAGTCACTGACTCGCACTGAGCTGCCCGCCGGCGAGCTCTGAGCGCGCGCCCGCGCGCGCTAGCGCGGCCGCAGGGACGCGGCAGCCAGCGCAACAAGTTGCAGGGTGGGCGGGCGGGATGATTGCGCGAGCAGTGGAGTTCACAACTTCATGTTACGCATGCGAAAATTCCCCTTTCTACAAGAATATCTGGATCTACCTGTCCCCTGGACTTCACGCGCTACCTTGTCACGCTGCAATTTAGATACGATCCTCCCCCATCGCGCATCCGAACTGCAAACTGACACCACCCCAGCATGCCCTTCTCGCCCCCCCCCTCATCCTCCTGGACAAATCATGCGCGCGCACTCGCGCATCAAAAATCATCAATTTTCAAGATTCCCCCGCCGAAACCGGGGCGAAGCGCACACGCGCGAGTCGTCGCGCGCGCACGCCGACATCAATCAATAACCTCAGGCCCTGCAAGGATTTCAACGTCGAGCGCCCCGAAAGCATGGAAAATAATATTTGAAACAAGGATATGGGCGTCTGCGAGCTTTGAAGAGAACCACCCCGCTAGCGTCAACGAGCTCATGACATTCAACCATAAAGGCCCTGCCGCGCGCGCGTCGAAATCGCCAAAATGAATGAAGCGCACGCGCGCCCGTCGTCGGGCGCGAACGCGCGCGCAAATGCCGACATCGATCGGAAGCCGTTTCCGCCGGGATGACAACATCGAGTGCCCCGAAAATTAGATCAAAACTGCAACAGCAAAATTTGCGGCACACCCCTGAGGAAACGCACGCTCTCTCACGATCTTAGAAACCATAGTTTGCAACACTGCCATCACGCAAGACCCATCTTCGTCATCGGCGCGATCAGCATCGGAGCGACCCTTGGCCTCGCCGTCGCCATTGCCGCCATCGCCACCATCATCGCCACTATCACCATCGCGTTCACCGTTGTCGACGTCGCCACGATGCCGCGCCCACCCACGCCACCGACTCGAACTGAAGTGCCCGCTAGGAAGTCCCCAGCGGTCAGCGCCACCGCAGCCGCATCGGTCGCGCCAAACTAGCAGGCCGCCACGCTCGCGAGCACGCGCGGGCTAGCGCAGCCCAGAGATGCAGTAGCCAACAACAAGCACTCATCGCAATCGCAGCCGCATGGGTTTTGCAAACCAACTTGCGGTCGGGCGGGCGGGCTGGCTGCGCGAGCAGTGGAGCTGTGACAAAACGCTGTGAACCAAGATGGGAATTGACATTGATTACACCCCACACATTGCACCACGTCGACTGCACCGCAAGCACTGCACCACGCTGTTTGCACAGCACTGAGCGCAAAACACGGATTGCGCCAAATAGCTTGCACCGCACACAGATTGCACCAGCCGCGACGGCGCAACGATGGGGGGGCCGCCAGAGCGCGCAACCCCGGCACCCCCTCGGCCCACGCACGCACGCCGCCCAAAGATCTGCGCGCCCCGATCCGCGGAGACCTGACCGCGGGCTCTCGGGCGGCGACGATCACGGGCCCGGCCCAGCCCCCCGGAGGGCGGGCAACGGCCCAGGCCCACCGCGCGCCTCGAGGACGCGCGGCGCGGCACCGCCGCAGGGGCCCTGGACCTGCCCACGCGGCGGAGGAGCGAGCGAAGCGGGAG